TGTGAGACCAATATGATCAGTATTTTTGTAAGTTTTTTCTTATTCAATACTACACAATAAGGGCGTAAACACTGTTGTCATTGTTTTGTTTATAAAGAATATTTACACAAACAAATGATATGAAATGTTGTTTATTACTATTTTTCTATATTTTATATACACATATACAGTCACAGGGAATGTTTCTAGAAGTTCTGCAGCCTGTGGAAGTCTTTGAAACATGGTGTCATGCACAGTGGTGTTTTACACTCCTCACACATAAAACGAGTGTGTCTGCGTTGTTGTGGGCGCTTTTTTGTATGTGCACAGACGTAACACCTCTTCTGAGCCTTTTTCTTGAAAGCAGTAGCAGGTATTTTTGTTAGGAAGTGATCACCATGCTTCAGATGAGAAGGTAGTTGATAATTTTGTGGGCGGTTTTCTGTTGCAGGTGTTGTTCCTTGGTACTTGATTATTTGTCTGATGACAGACGAACAAAATTCGCCATATGGTGGTTTGTTTCTGGTCCTTATCTTATACATATTATAAGCATTGAGCATGGAAAGGTCCAGAATATGGAAAAAGAGTTTTATCTACCACTTATAACTCTTGCGAACCCAATCTGTATGTCACATTTGTCTACTGAACACATATTGAGGGTGTAGTCAATCACAGCTGCAGGTTTTAGAATGGGTTCATTGCTCTGTCTCTGCTGCCTGCCAGTGTCTGCCATTTCGTTAGGGTGAACTGATGACAACAGTGTGACATCTCGTTTGTCATGCCACCGAAATGCCATGATGTCATCATCAGCAAACAACTGCACCTCACCTCTACAAGTGCCAGCATCGAACCTGGGCATATGTTTATGATTTCCATGCACTGTGCCACACACATCTGTCATGTTCACTTGCAAGAAATCACTGAGTAAGGAGCTTGTGTACCAATTATCAGTAGTATGTAATATATCCCCCTTACCAAGATATTTTTCCATCATTGTTCTAACCACATCACCAGAGATGCCCAGTAACTTCCTGGTATCTTGCAGTGTATTACTGCCAGTGTACACAATTATATCCAATACAAGACCACTGTAGCAATCACAAAGCACAAACAACTTTATACCAAAGCGTTTCCTTTTGCTTGGTATGTACTGCTTGAATGAGTCATTCATTTGAACAAAATCTAAGACTCATCAATAACAAGCTTCCTGAAGGGATAAAAATACATACTGAATTTCTGTTTGATACACAAACACATTCCTAATCTTGTATAACCTGTCGTTTCTGTCAGGCCTGGTTTTGTCTGAGAAGTGAAGCATACGTAATAGTAGCACAAATCGACTCATTCCTATTATATCACTGAAACCTGGGGTTGCAATCAGGCGGTCTGTCAACCAGTATGATTTGACACTGTGCTTATACACGTGGTATAAGCATTATTGTGGCAAACAAAAGATACATCTTAGCCGCAGTTGTCTCCTTCCACTGGTGTAGGCGTGAGTTTGGTGAAAGTATTGTGTTTGCCATGGTGTACTCGAAGTATCTGTTGCTTTCCCTGATATTAATTTCCATCATGGGTTCGTCAAAGAATAACTCAAAACATTCCAGTTCAGTGGCATTGTTCCCAAGTGTACAAGATGGCCGTATTCCAATTTGACTTTCATCAAAGTGATGGGAATTGGGAACAAAATTGGCAGCTCCCGGCCCATCCCAGGTGCGGTCTGCTGGTGGGTACAGGATACTGACAGGTGGTTGTGGCTGTGGAGGTTGTGGTTGTGGAGGTTGGTGTGGTGGGTGGGTGGGGGATGGTAGCCTTTGTTGTAGTTTTGCTGAGTCAACGGCGTGGGTGGCAGCATGGCCTACTGCTGGTGCCTCATGGCTGGCACCACCACTACCACCAACAGATGCATGCACATTTTTCATACCAATTGCAACACTATCATCTTTATTTTCACTATCTGTTCCTGTTGTACAGTCACAGGATGTACTCTGAGATGTACTCATTCCCCTTGGAATAGCATATGGCACACTACCAGAGTGCATATACCGTTGTATATACTGACGCTTCACTGGAGAATACTCTACTTCACTCTCGCTACTGAAACTGTTTTAAAGAGCTTGGAGTTCATATTCACTATCACTCTCATCACCATTGCTCACATCTGAGTCCTGGATATGGGAAAATAAGAGTTTCCTCTTTCGTTCTGGTACAACTAAACATGAACAAGATGGCCCAGCACCAGAGGTGGAAGGTTGAGGGTCGTCTGGGTTTTCCTCACTAATACCGGTATTGTGGTCATTAATTTCTGTCACAACCTTATCAAAACCTTGAAACTCATCTTCACTGACACTTCCATCTGTACTAGAACTGTCACTGGGGAACAAAAGTGTCCCAATTCGCCGAGGAGTGAGGAGTTTCTTACCGCGAGGCATGGTGAGCAAGGCGTACTAAAGTGGTGTTCCCACAATGCACCACTGGGTCCCTGAATTTTTTTCCACCCGCTCACACAGACCACACAGACCCATTCTCTCAAATCTAGGCCTACCAGCTGTTTCCCGCTTAATTTAAAGCTGCTAGAATTTATGCATACTAGTACGGCACCAACCCTGGCGCGCAAGCTGTATTAGTACGGCACCAACCCTGAAAGGGTTAATACGTAGAATGCTAAGAGTAGTAGTGAACAGAGGAAAATCCAGCATAAGTGAGGCAAAAAGCTCAGTACCCAAGGTGCTGTTCTGGCACCTCTGCTGTTTATCCTCATAGCACACATGGATAAAAACACCCATCACAGTTTTGTATCATTTGCAAATAACATTAAAATGAGCATGAAAATCACCTTGGTATACTTAAACCAACACTTATAAAAATTACCAACCATCATCAAGAAACCATACAACAGTGAGAGGGTGAGAAATGTCAGTGGGTGAGAGCCATACGAGGAGACAAGCGAGGGTACCAGCAACTTAGTTGCCTAGGACTGGAGTGTCTCATGCTTTGTTTGCCTTGGTCTGACCATTATCGTCAGTCTGCACCACCACATTGGGCCATATGTAGTAGTTCCCACACCCTTTCATATTCAAATGTCAGAGGGGGGAGGAAGAGGGGAGGGGGATGTGAACTACTGATGGATGACAGGGAGTTGTGCCTAGACATAAATGGAAGTTATAAAGAAGTCTTGACAAAGAATTAGGGGATATTCTAGGAGAGGAGAAAGGAGCAGGAAGTTAGTTACAGGATATTTCAATAATCGTTGAGGCAGTAAAAGAACTATTTGATTTAAATACGACAGAAGCTATAAAATCAGATAGTACAACAATTTAGTGTGCAAAGAGGAGCAAAGGAAGTGTTTTTCCTTAACAGAGATATACAATCAGCTGATAGAAACCTGGCAACAGTTTGAAAATGGCACGTGTGATCCTGCTATACAAGAAGGGAAATAGAAAGGAAGCACTAAGCTTTAGACCAGCTTTATGGACCAAGTAGTCAAAAATAGTCTGGCCTTAGTCTTGAACCCTTTACATATATTATCTCTTAATGTATTTAAACCCCTGCTATTTGAGGGTATTTTATAGTATCAGCCTCCTTCCCTCCTTAACCCCAACACTGAGTCACTTTAACATGGTGGCGAGGTTTTAAACATTTATGCCTGATTGAGAACCCAGCTTCTCTTAATGTAAATAGTGGGGATATTTTTCATTTTGTCCAAATATACTGACATTTATGGCCGATGACTTTGAATAATTTATGGATGTGGTTTGCAGAATGTGAAAATTATACTGAATAGTTTAACTTACATTGTGATTATGATTTATGCACCAAACATCAATTAGTCATTATAGTAGCAAGTTCACCAAAAACCTGCATTGAGGAGAGGAGCCTTAGGATGATGTTTCAGTTCATCATGAACCACTGTCAAATCACAATAGAACAAGAAAAAGGCAGTGAAGGCCAGAATACAGAATGGGAGAAGGGAGGAGGAGGAGGAAGAATAGTAGTAGTAGTGGTGGTGGTGGTGGTAGTAGTAGTAATTGTTTTTCATAAAACAATGAGAAATAAATATAAATGACTAATTTTAATGATAAATGAACATTACATAGCTTTATTGAAGACTCTTGCTGGTGAGTAGTATTTTTAGTAGTCCCAGGGGGGCTACGTCCCAGGTGTATACCTACTGGCTACATACACTGTGGCCTACAGCCATATCATTACCATCGACATACCATGTTCACTGAGTTTAATCGTTTTTTAACAACTACCGTGAGTGTTCAATCACTGTTTCCATAACATTTCTGAACATATCACCGATTTGTTTGCCTTATTGACTGTAATTTGTTATACACTGATATCCTTGGTTTCATGTGACTTCCTCATTTGTTCTTGTATTTACAAACATGCACACTTTCCTTGAATGGTAACACTCCCTTTCCCAACAACACTGGGTTCAAGCTAGACTCTTAGCACTTAATAATAATAATAATAATAATAATAATAATAATAATAATAATAATAATTCTTTGAGCCAAGCAAATAATGTAGTTAAATGTGTTAGCAAGGCTTGGTCATGGACCAGGCCATGGGGTGTTACCTCCCGAAACACCCTCTGGGTATAATAGTGGGCACAGAAATCCACTAATTGTGCAATGCACTTCAATATATATTTTGTATATTTTTTCATGTAAAGTACACAAAGAATCAAATTTATATTGTTCACGGTCAACACTACAACCATTTAAAACATCACTGTCTCTTGCAGTTTTTCTCTCAGACTTCCTCTGTCACTTAAGGTATTGGAGCCTGCACAAACATAGGGTAACACTAGGTAATGGAAGTAAGACACGAGAGAGAGAGAGAGAGAGAGAGAGAGAGAGGGGTGGGTAGATTGCATTTTCTTGGATTGCAAGAAGGCCTTTGACACAGTTCCTCACTAGAGATTAGTGCAAAAGCTAGAGGATCAGGCATGCATAACAGGAAGGGCACTGCAGTGGATCAGAGAATACCTGACAGGGAGGCAACGAGAAGTCATGGTACATGATGAGGTGTTAGTGGGCATCCGTGATGAGTGGGGTTCCACAGGGGTCAGTCCTAAGACCAGTGCCATTTTTAGTAGTATATGTATGTGTGAATGACATGATGGAAGGGATAGACTCAGAAGTATTCCTGTTTGCAGATGATGTGAAGTTAATGAGGAGAATTTAATTGGATGAAAATCAGGCAGGACTACAAAGAGACCTGGACAGGCAGCAAGCCTGGTCCAGCAACTAAAGGGACCCCAGTGGAAATAAGCCACTCTGTCTGACTTTTTTGGGTTATCCTAGGTTCTCTACACATATGCTGCTATGTATGATAATTCTATGTAACTGTATTTGTGTATACCTGAATAAACTTACTTACAACTGGCTCCTCGAATTTAACCCCTCCAAATGCAAAGTCATGAAGATTGGGGAAGGGAAAAGAAGACCACCGACAAAGTATAGGCTAGGTGACCAAAGACTGCAAACCTCACTCATTGTTCTTGGAGTGAGTATAATACCGAGCACATCTGAGGTGCACATCAACCAGATAACTGCTGCAGCATATGGGTGCCTGGCAAACCTGAGAATAGCATTCTGATACCTCAGTAAGGAATCATTCAAAACTCTGTACACCATGTACATCAGTCCCATACTGGAGTATGCAGCACCAGTTTGGAACTCACAGCTGGTTAGGCACGTCAAGAAATTAGAGAAAGTGCAAGGGTTTGTAACAAGACTAGCCCCAGAGCTAAGGGTAATGTCCTACAAAAAAAGGTTAAAGGAAATTGGCCTGACAACACTGGAGGACAGGAGGGTTAGGGGAAACATGATAACGACATACAAAATACTGTGAGGAATTGACAAGGTGGACAGAGACCGGATGTTCCAGAGATGGGACACAGAAACAAGAGGCCACAATTGGAAGTTGAAGACTTAGATGAGTCAAAGGGATGTTAGGAAGTATTTCTTTAGTTATAGAGTTGCCAGGAAGTGGAATAGTCTAGCAAGTGACGTAGTGGAGGCAGGAACCATACATAGTTTGATAAAGCTCATGGAGCAAGGAGAAAGAGAGGACTTAGTAGTGATCAGTGAAGAGGTGGGGCCAGGAGCTGTGAATCGACCCCTGCAACCAGAAATAGGTGAGTACACACACCTGCACACTAGAGCAGAAAGACTGATGCCTGACTGTATAATGGAGCCCATGTACTAACACCAGATGGGCATCTTAGACATGTTTGAGAATAAACAAATGGTCATAGTGACTTATAGCTCTCACTAGTAAAGCAACCAGGTCAGTTAACCACTGCCTTTTATCTCTAACAAACTGCTGGTACTTCATTCCTCATTGTTTGGGTCTGTAGAGTTGTGTCTCACAGCCTTGGCCATCCAGCTAACATCCAGAAATATTTCTGGAATGAAGGTTGGTATGGTATAAGGGCCTGTGAGCTGCTACCCAAACAACCTGGAGGACAAGGTGGCCAATAGGGAAGCTTGATCTTGAACTGTGCTGTAAGGGTAGAAGAACCCTGGTATTGTATTGGAGGGGCCTGGTGTTTTACAGTGCCCAGAGATACCCTTCTCAGATTGCACAGCGATTGCAACAAGCATAGAAATCCCAGGTAGGTAACGTTACATTAACATAGTAATAATTTGTACAATGTCTGGATTGTTTTTATTTTAGGAATATTTAGTAAATTTTCATACAGCTGTTATTACTGAAAGCTTGTGGTGTATCTGCTAGTGTACACTAGTGATGTATGTGTCTAATCTCCACAGCTGTTTGTGAGGAGAGCGGTCCAGTGATTGTAGAGGAACCCGACAACCGTGTGGACTTCAGTAACTCGACAGGTGCCAACATCCATTGCTCCGTACGTGGCCATCCCAAACCCACCGTTGTCTGGGTCAAGGCTGATGATGGAACAGCCATTGGTGATGTTCCTGGCCTGAGGAAGGTTAGTTTCTATCTCTTTCACGTATGGGGAATCCTGGGTCATTATAATTTCAAGACTATTATGCACTCGCAGGGTCAGTGTACAGTAGAACCTCGGTTTTCATTTGCCCTGGTTTTCATCGAATTCAGTTTTCAACGACTTTTTTTCGTCAAAATTTTGTCCCAGTTTTCATTCATCACCTCAGTTTTCATTGAGTTGACAGTAGTCCGCGCCCACACAAAGCATCCCACTCGTTCTGAGTCAGTTTGGCTTTGTTTCTCATCAGTAGAGGGTGGTAGTGATAACCTCTCCTCCCTCTCCCCTCCTCGCCGTCTTCCATATGCCAACAAGAGTCTTCAGTAAAGGTAAAAGTGATGCTAAATGTTCATTTATCCATTTCATTAGTCATTTATATTTCTCATTGTTTTCTGTATGTAAAACTATAGTTATTCTCTTTAAAATGTATTTTTGTTAATACTTTCGGTGTCTGGAATGGATTAACCCTTTCAGGGTCATGGTGCCCTCTTCTAAACTCGTTCTCAGGGTCGAAAATTTTTCGGAGAAAAAAAATTATTTTTTCTTGTGAAATGATAAAGAATCTTTTCTTGATCATAATGACACCAAAAGTATGAAATTTGATGGAAAACTTACGGAATTATGCTCTCGCAAAGTTAGTGATCTAGATGTTTACGCATCGGTGATTTCACCCATTTTGAGCCCTATTTTCGGCCAATTCCAGTGTACTAGTCGGCAAAAGTCATATTTATTTCACTAGAACTCCATTTTTTCTATCGAATGAGTACAAGAAACCACCCATTTACCGATTTCAACTATCCAATAAAGTGGTCAGAAATTGGCAGTTTTGCCAATTTCACACAAATTTCAGAAGATGCCAATTTCCAAATAGGGTCCGGAATAAACAAGACAGATATTCCTGGCACTAAAATAACATTTTCTCTGTTCATTAGTCACATCCCAAGGCCCCTCTTACATCTCTTTTGCTTTCCACTTTGAATTTTTATTCTCACAAAAAATAGAAAATTTACTGTTATGCAGACTACTGCATTAGTGTAGAAATGGTATAAATAATATCAGCGCACTTGTGAAAGAATATTAGACTCGCCAGTTGACGTGTATTGGACACTTGGCATGATTTGTTTACTTTCGAACTTTGGTAAAAATCAAACATTTCTGCTATTTTGAGCTCAATTTCAAGATACTTTCCATTATGAAACCAATCAAAATCATCTCAATTTCTATAATATGTCTTCCATTCTATAAAATGAGACCAGGAAAACTGAAATACAACCATAAATACCATACGAAACTACACTGCAAAGTCGCTGTTTTAAACCAAAAACACGGTCGGAGTTTTTTTCTCATTATGCACTGTGTGCTGCAAGATTTTTTTTTATACTGCACACACTGACCACATAGACCCATTCTTTCATATGTAGGCGTACCAGCTTTCTCTCACTAGATTTGAAGGCGCTAGAATTTAGGCATACTAGTACGTCAATAACCCTGGTGTGTAAGCCGTACTAGTACGTTGGAAACCCTGAAAGGGTTAAATGGATCTACATTATTTCTTATGGGAAATATTGCTTCAGTTTTTGTAGAATTTGGTTTTCGTCAGACTTTCTGGAATGAATTAATAACAAAAACCGAGAGAATACATCTATGTGGTATGTGTGCACCACATAAAACAAATCCTGCAGCACACTGCATAATGAGAGAAAAAAATTGAGACCGTAATTTTCTATTAAAACAGCGACTTTGCAGTGTTTTTCGTATTTTTTTATACAGTGGAACCTCAAAAATCAAACTTAATCCGTTCCAGGAGCTAGTTCTAAATTCGAAAAGTCTGAAATTCGAAGCAATATTTCCCATAAGAAATAATGGAAATACAATTAATCCGTTACAGAAACCCAAAAATATTCACAAAAAATACATTTTATAGAGATTAATTACAGTTTTGCATACACATAACAAATGCTATAGTCTTTAATTATGTATAATAATATAAAATAACATTTTTACTTACCTTTATTGAAGATTGGTGATGGCATCTGGAAGATAGGGAGGAGGAGAGAGGGAGTTGGGGTTAGTGTTTGGAAGGAGAATCCCCCTCCATGAGGACTTCTGGTATCAAAGCCCTCTCTGGGGTTGCTTCCCTTCTCTGTATTTTAATGCCACTAGGACCAGCTTGAGTCATTGGACCCCAGTCTCACAAAATAACTGTCTACAGTCCTCTGTTTCTGTCTCACAAAATAACTCCACAGACGTCTGTTTCTGTCTCACAAAATAACTCCACAGACGTCTGTTTCTGTCTCACAAAATAACTCCACAGACGTCTGTTTCTGCCTCACAAAATAACTGTCCACAGTCGTCTGTTTCTGTCTCGCAAAATAACTGTCCATAGTCCTCTGTACATCCTGGCAAACTCAACAAGTCTCACTTCAATCTCATACTTCTGTATTATTTCCTTCTTCACATCTATGGTGTTTCTCACTTTCTTTACCACAGGGGTACCGCTAGCAAGTTTCTTTGGGCCCATGGCAGCTTATTTCACAGCCCCTCAAGCACTAAACACAATTAAATAATCGTAAAATGTGTGAATGAGATCGCAGGTTAGTGTTCACTCAAGCATAAACAAAGCTAGACTGCTCACGGTGCCTGCGCGGGGACGCGGACAGAGCGGGCCAGCGGACAGGTCCCGTACCCGGCGGTCCAAAAATAGAGGCGCGTTCAATAATAGGGACACAGTTTGTCGGAAAAAATGGTCTTATTTTCGAAACGTTCGATATGTGATACGTTCGATATTTGAGGTTCCACTGTAGTTGTATTTGTGATTTCTTGGTCTTGTTTGATAGAATGGAAGATATATTACAGAAACGGAGATGATTTTGATTGGTTTTAGTACTGGAAATGGCTTGAAACTGAGCTCAAAGTAGCGGAAATGTTAAAGTTTTGCCGATGTTCAAGAGTAAACAAATAACCTCATTTGTCTAATATACGCCAGCTGGTGGGTCGAATACACGCCAGCTGGTTGGTCTAATATACGTTCACAAATGTGTTGATATTATTTATACAATTATTACAATATTGCATAACAGTAAATCTTCTATTTATTTGGTTTGAATAAAAATTCATTATGTGAATAAAAAATTAAAATGGAATTCATTTGTAAAGCGAGGAAACATAACTAATGAACAGAGAAAATGTTAGTTTAGTGCCAGGAATGCCTGCATTGTTTATTCTGGACCCTATTTTGAAATTGGAGTATTTTGAACTTTGCATTAAATTGGCCAAATTACCAATTTCTGATCACTTTATTTTGTAGTTGAAACACTTGACTTGGCGATTTCTTGTGCTCAATCGATAGAATAGAAGTAATACTAGTGAAATAGCTAAGGAATTTGGTTGACTGGAATAATGTAATTGGCCTAAAATGGGAGTCAAAGTCGGCAAAATCGCCACTGTGTAAATATCACTGACACATCAAAATTCGCAAGAGCATAGTTTCGTCAGTTTTCCATAGAATATCATACTTTTTGTTTTATTTCTTTCAGAAAAAGTTTCTCTACCATTTCATAAGAAAAAATAATTTTTTTTTTTTTAAATTCTTGGACCCTGGTGCACACTTTGAAATTTGACCTCTGGACCCTGAAAGGGTTAAACTAGGCCTCCCAGGGGATCAAGGCCTGATCAGTTAGGCTGTTACTGTCAGCCGCATGCATTCCAGTGTACAAATCACAGCCCGGCTGTTGGGAGCTGATTTGAGGAACTTGTAAAGTTCTTTCTTGAAGACAGCCAGAGTTTTTTGGTGATTACCTTTACACATGAAGGGAGTGTGTTGAATAGTTGGAGAACTCTGACACTTAAAGAATAGTGAATAAAGGTTTTATTTCTTTGTAAAAGTTATTGTGTGTAATTACAGTTTTGGTTTGCTCAGTACAGAGAAAGCCACTATCATGCCGGGGCATTTTGGGCAGACTAATCCTACTACATAATAACTACTTAAATCTAGACAAGATAAGTGGTCAACTTTTATTTAAATCTTTATTTAATCTTAATACTAATGCGAGGTAGTTATCGTGGAGGTACAGTGGACCCCCTACTTATGATGCCGTCAGCCTACGTTAAAACCGACTTACGATGCTTGTCAGCATAAAAATTTGACCCCGACATACGTTGAAAAACTTGACTTGTGTCATTCGTCCCGTACACGTCCACGCGTCTGTCTGGCCTGAGCGCCTCAGCTGAGCTAGTGTGACATTGTTTACAAGCCGGGGCAGACAAGGTTGCATGCATATATTTGATGAATTTTGTATTATTCCAGTGTTTTTAGTGCTTATAACTGCTAAATAAGCCACCATGGGCCCACAGAAAGCTTCTAGTGCCAACCCTGTGGTAAAAAGGGTGAGAAATAATATTGAAATACTATTGTACCACGGTCAGCTGCTGCTGCTGCACCACGGTCAGCTGTACTAGTCGAAGATGTGGAGAGACTGTTATTGGTGTGGCTTATTGAGAATACCGAGAAACAATTAACACCAGAAGGTTAGCCACCCAGGATAACCCAAGAAAGTCAGTGTGTCATTGAAGACTGTCTAACTTATTTCCATTGTGGTCTCTAACCCTTTCAGGGTCCAAAGCCAAAATCTGAAGTGGTGGCCCAGTGTCCCAAGAATTTTCCCCCCAAAAAATTCTTATTTTTTCTTATGAAATGGTAGAGAATCTTTTTGTGAAGGTAATAAAACAAAAAGTAAGAAATTTGATGGAAAATTGACGAAATTATGCTCTCACGAATTTTGATGTGTCAGCGATATTTACGAATCTGCGATTTTGCCGACTTTGACTCCCATTTTAGGCCAATTACATTATTCCAGTCGACCAAATTCTTAGATATTTCACTAGTATTACTTCTATTCTATCGGTTGAGCACAAGAAATCGCCAAGTCAACTGTTTCAACTACAAAATAAAGTGATCGGAAATTTGTAATTTGGCCAATTTAACA